CTGCCTGCAGTGTTTCTTTGTTTTCAGCACACTCAGCAGCACTGTGCCCCAGTTCCTACACCCTTCCTGGGAAGCTGGAAGTAGGAATTAGAGGTGGAACTCCAGGAGCTAAGTCCAAGAGCAGTGGTGTTATGTAGTACCTTCCCCTCTCTCCTATTACTCGTGCACTTGAAAGCCATCAGAACTATTTCAGAGTGTTTGGGGTATAAGGATATAGAATACATATGATATGTTTATTTTTCCCCCTTTTCCAAAGCCTTCTTACATCTATGAGCATCACTGCATGTTTGGAGAGTCTGATCTGGGCTCTGACAGTATCTTTTGTTCACAGATTTCTCACGTTGCTCTGTCTGGGCTGAGGAACTGGACAGCCCCAGCAGCCCCTATGAGTGTGCTGCTTGCCAGGCAGTTTAAAGCCTTTCTTCCTCCAAAAAACAAACTGGATCTTGGAGATCCATGGTGGATAATTCCTAGTGAATTGAACATCTTCACTGGGTATCTTTCCAACAACAGATTTTACCCTCCACCTCCCAAGGGCAAAGAGGTAAGATATGAAACTCAATTTCTTTATACCTGAGGTGCAGTTTGTATAAATGTTCTGCCTCATAGCCCAGGTGAATTGAAGGAATCCCCAGAGGGACAAGGCTGTTGGAATTTGCTCCCTGGATTTTCTAAGGGAGCAAAAAAGCCTGCAGCAGTCAGTCTCCTAAACTGGAGGTAAAACCAAGCACAGGCAAAGGCTCTGTGTGTCTGTCACAGGCAGGTGAGGCTGACTTGAGGAACTTCATCTTGCTTTGCTAATTGTGTGGGATTTTAGGCTAGTTTTTCCAAGAGAGGCTTATTCAGAAAACACCTGCATAAAGTGATCATTCCTCATGCAGCAGTGGCCAAGTGCCACCCCAGAGGGGAGTGTTTCATTGACAAGTGAAGCACTGTGTGTACACAGCAGGTAAAGCCAGGCATGGCATCACCCTCCCCTGGGTGCCTGGTGTTAGCAGTGATCACTGAGCTGATCCACCTGCACAGCTTGGTGTGGTTATTGATTGCACACCCACTCCCTCAGTGTCTGGGGTTGAATTGATGGAGGCAACCTCATAGATCAGTGTACCATCCTGACTGGCATGATGGAAACTTGTAAACAATGGGAATAGCATAGGAACCATGGAAGATGGATTTATCTTTAAAAACAGCCTCTTGCTTTATCTGGTTTGTGATTAGGTTGGTCTCTGAGCTAGTTTTTAAGTCATAGCCATTCTCTTACCTTCCTGGTCTGTCAGGGAGTTAATTTGGAGCCGCAGCTGAGCTGTGTGGAGGAACTGTTCTCACTGTGGCTCACAATTCTTTCTCTAGGTGATAATCCACAAGCTTTTGAGCATGTTCCACCCACGTCCCTTTGTCAAAACCCGCTTTGCTCCCCAGGGAGCTGTGGCCTGCATCCAAGCCATCAGCAGCTTCTACTACACCATAGCATTCCGGTGAGGCTGTGGGTCCAGGGTGTTGGGCAGGGGCTTGGGGACAGTTCTGAGTTTGTTCCCTATCCCAGGGGAATGGAGAAGGCTCCTGTGAGCCCGTGGCAGAGAGCACATACGTCACTGCACGTGTCAGATGTGTTCTGGCTGGGAGGAAGGTGAAGCATTGAGGAAGAGGGTGGCTCACAGCTCTTGCCTGTGACACCCAAAGGTCACCTGTGTCCCTGGTGAGGCAGGGACTGTGCCCACATGCAGGACAGCAGCTGATCTCCATCACCCTTGGTCTGGAGCTATCTCTGGCTGAAAGGGGAGAAACTAATTAGCAAGAAATTTGTTTGGTTTTGGCTAATCAGGGGGTGGAGTGTCTTTGCAAGGGGGAGAATCTTGGGAATTGTTCTCTTGTTTTAGTGGAAGTGTTAGGCACAGCTCTTACTGATCAAGCAGAAGGGAAGGCCAAAGGGTTCTTTTCTGTCCCTGTGTTTCAAGGAATGATAATGTATTTCATCCTTCCTGGATGCACACTTACTGCCCAGTTCCTAAGGGCATTGATACTGGAGTTGTTCCTGACCCAGGGGATCTGCTCCAGTCTTTATTCTCTTCATTGTGTGACATGAAAAGCTTTTTGAATAGCACTTCTTTGCCCCTGTTTAGGTTCATAATTTCTGGTGACTGGAGATAGCCTTTCCCTGCTGTCACCTGGAGGACATAATCCCTTCTCTCTCCTGCAGCTGATGGTTCCTTTCTCCTTTCAGGATCCATGCTGAGTTCCAGCTGAACGAGCCACCAGACTTCCCCTTCTGGTTTTCCCCGGGACAGTTCACAGGTCACATCATCCTCTCCAAGGATTCTTCCCATGTCCGAGAGTTTAAGCTCTTTGTCCCTAACAACAGGTACAGCAGTTTCTCTCTCTTTCTGGGTGCTGAAGAGACTTGAGGATTGTCACAGCTGACGCCTAGTGGTATCCAGGGGACACCTTGTTGCACCCACCCAGCCATGGGCAGGGGTGCCACTAGACCAAGTTGCTCAGATCCACATCCAAGCTGGCCTGGAACACTTCCAGGGATGGGGCAGCCACAACTGTCTGTCGTGGATGAGCTCATGCTTTTCAGACAAGTTCCTGCAAAATCTGAGTGAACTGAGCTCTGCAGTTGCCTGTAAATGCATCTCTACAATGCAGATTGGAGTTCTCTGAGGAACCCCATCCCATTTCAGGGGCTGATTCACCCACCAGTAACTGTCCCTTGGTATCTGGAGGATGGAGAGGCATGGGCAGGTGTGGAGAGCAGCCCCTGAGCCTGGCTTAAAGCACCAGAGTCCAGCAAAGCCTGGTGCTCCTGCTTCAACACAGTTTGCTTGGAGTCTCACAGGTTAAGGTTTTATGGGCATGGCTTTGCACTAGCTCATTCCTTCTCTCTGGCAAGGAGCTGGAAAGGTTTCAGGGGAAAGAAGCTTCAAATCTCTTTGCCCATGACGGCTGGAGTGAAAATTCTATTACAACATTACCCTGGCGACTCAACCTCGATGGCTCTGTCAGCACATTTCTTCCAGCCAACAGCCACTTAGGGCTCTGCCAGCAGCTCCTTGCAAAAGCCTTTTGCTTCCAAAA